ATTATTATTATTATTATTATCATTATTATGAAAATTCTTAGATTATAGCGTATGACATTTCTGCTTTCGAATGTGTTTCTGGATGGTGTTAAAGTAATATTGGAGCCAGCCTGCAGGCATTTACGCCTGATATCACGCATATAACTTCTTGCAAAGTTAAGATGTCATCAGCATGGAACATACGGCTAGTGCTGTTTTTGTTGCTTTTTGGCTAGTTCTGCCATTTACAGAAAGGAAGAATTTTATACGGTTAACTTAAAAACAAATTTTCAACCAAAAAATTCCGACAGTTATATTCTTTTCAAAGTCTTAGCCTCAGGTCTATCCTTAAACTATTCTTAAAATTTCGCAAATTTCAACCTCGATATTTTTATAACTCGTATCCTTATAAAAAGAAAGAGTGTATGATGACATACAAGGTTCAGTTAATTCAAACGTTTGTTGAGTGACCTCCAGGTGTGTCTTGGAATTGATATTTTTCCAAAACAATGACCAACAAGTTTTTTTTTTCTGTAAAATGTTTAAGCAAACAACTCTAGCCGTAAGGCCAGGGAAGCTTTTTTAATTCAAAAAGGCAGAGAAATTGATCCCGATGGTCTGAACATCCGTGAAGAAACATATTAATTGTTTCCTATTATTATGTTATTTCATTATTTTATTATACCATATTCTTATCTTAAATTTACACTGTCAATTAGTTTTACGTATTTCCGGTATTACGAAAATATGCTACATAAAAACACGTCCCAATGTAAAATTCTCATTGTACCTGAAGGCTGGTTTGGCCAGCCGAAATATAGCACACCTTCAAAAAAAAATCATCCTACGTTGCGTCAGTTTCTTCTTTTATATATATACATATTGTTTTTGTTTTTGTTTTTTTTTTTCAAAAAATCTGTGTAATTGAAGAGGATGAAGACCGACTCTTGACTGTTCCGGCTTTAATACAACAACGTTTCCGCTATTCAGCCTTCTTCAGGCTAAAATAAGCTTTACAGTAAAAAAAATAGTTTAAAGAATAAAAAATACGACCATATGAAATTACAAGATGCGGACTTATATTGGCAAAACTAGTTTCAAGATAGGTTATGTAATCGATTACATGGTAAAAGACAACTTAAAGAAGGCTGAATAGCCGAAACGTTGTTACCAATGCAAGCTTACCAAACCCCTTAAAGCTCGAAAGCGAAGTGCACAGCTGCGGGGTTTGCTATTTTTTGTAGTATTTTAAGTTGTAAAGCGCCGTTGATTAGTAAATGTAAATAGCGCTCTAGAAGTTGTTAAATTATTACTATTATTATCATCATTGGAGAACAGTTGTGAATTTGAAGCGTGAATCTGTGGCCTTCTATTTCTTGAACTACAGCGCTAGAAAAAAAGGTTCTTTCAGCTGGCTACTCCTTTCTTCAGAAATACAAAATAATTTTCGCTCGAGAAAACAACAGCAAGAGGACTTCCCGCGACTACAACGATAACGGATCAATGCTCAAACGTGTAGCACACGCGAGATACAGTCGGAAAACGCGCGCGCGACACCCACTAAAACTGAAACGCGCGCGAATTGATCACAAGCTTTAGTTTTGTCCAGTCAACATCAACATTTCACAATATAAATTTAATCATTGAAAGAAATATTACGTAGCCCTGATGCACTTTGCTTCGACGTTTCATGAGTGGCCAAAATGCGCCACGCATCAAGGATAAAAATTATTTTGCACCAAATTGATCATGTTAAAGTGAGCGCTACAGAACCAGTTAGCCAAGTAAACTTCCCCACTCTTTTAGTTGTTTGAGTTTGATTTTAGGCGTTTCTGTCAACACGATTAGCTGATGGCAGCTGAGTTTACTTTCCGAAGAGAGAACAAAAGCTTGAGAGTTGGCTGAGCAACCTCATTGATTCATTCATTCATCAAGACGAGCGTAGTCTTGAATCCAGGTGAAAAGGTTAAACTTCATTCATTTTTCATTTTCCTTTTTCTAAAGAGATTTTGAAAGGAATGCCGATTAAATCTTGACGTTTTTAATCCTGTTAATTTGTATGTGATGAAAGATTTGCGACTTTTAATAAAAGGCAGAGTTTCTTAAACGGTCAGAAAGAAAACTAACTACTGCAAATCATTTTAAATGCGGGACATACCATTCAGATCAGACACGTGCCCTCGAGTGCAAACGGCGTTTTTCTTTTGTTTATTTTTGAAATGTGTTTGCGGAATGGATTTAAACAGCTGCGCCGCTAATGCAATTTGGAGATGAGAGTGTGGCTGTATTGACTCTAACCTCGTTGGTAAATATTTGGCTAGCCTTTTGGTAAACACAGCACTCTTTGAGTATTGTTCATAGCGTGCTCGTGTTTTGGCTGTGAAATCACTACCTGTCGACGCCGCTTGTAAAACAAACTTGGGTAGGTGTCATTACTAATGAAAAACATCGCTGCGAGCGTTCGTGACGTTTGAGCGAGAATCATTTGTTATCGGTTTGTTTTGGCTGTATTTATGAAAAAACAATAGAAGTCATCTCATCTTTTAAATTAAGTTTTACGTGGATTCGAATTTTCTCTTTGTCTTCGATTACCAAACCATCACAACTTTCGGAATCTGATAGACAAATCAGTTTTACCGATAACGCTGTTGATGTTCAATTTTAATTTGATGAACAAGGCCCGATAACGTTTATCAAATAATTGTTTTAAACCGCTTTCATCAATAGTTGTAAACCAGTCTCCTTTTGTTTCAAGTTGTCTATTGCCATGTTACCGAGATCGGTAAAAAGATAGCAAAAACTAAATACTGACTCACCGAATTGCTCGACATTTCACAATGGCATAAGGACTGCCGCATGAGATTGTTTTTTGGCAACTAGTGCAGTCGAAACACGAACATCTTTGTCTTCATCTAGAAATGATGCTGATAAATAGAGATAAGTTTTCAAGAAATTTTCTGACTGAAGTCGACTGGAAGAAACTGGCTTTATTTCAGTGCGGGCAATACTATGTTGAAAACATTGTTCTATTCCAATACTCGTGCGTTGAAAAAATTGTTTTATTCCAATACTACTGAAAGGAAGTCATTTCTGGAAAGTGAATAAAAATGAACATTACCTCGTAAATCTGGGACTAAAGTTTTTTTGGCTGTGGTAAATCGACCATAAATCAAGAAGTAAAAGAATAAACATTTTTATCGTTGTCAAAAAACTACAAGACAACGACAACCCAATCTTTTAGAGAACTGCCTTAGTAAAAAGCTCGAGATAACAAAAGTAAACGGCAGACTAATTCCTTCTTAAGGAAACAAAGAGTGAAAAAATTATCTCACAACTTTAAACATTTAAGTTTGTTCTTCCATTAACGCTAATTGCTAAAAACCGGCTAAGAACGTTCATATTCGTTGAGATGATAAAAAAACGCCAGGTTAGAAAAATCATACTTGTATAGGAAAAGCGTGTGCGTGCCCGATAGTTTCAAAAGCTAGTTTCACAATTTCGTTCTTTCAAGATTCGAGACGATGCTAAGCTACAAGCAACTGTGCCTATTTATAAAGGTATTAGGTCAACAGAGGAACCGTATTTTAGACGGAAGCGGTAGTTCCTGAGCACTAATTGAAAAATACACAAGCGCGACTTCGGAAGGCCAACCTTTCATGTGTTTAACATCGCATAACACCTGAGCAAGCGGTGTACACAATGGCGTGTGTTGTGCACGAGCCGAGCAACTCTTGCAGGTGAACCAAGTAAAAAAGATGAAAAGTCGCCCGGTGAACAATTCTCTTACTGGCCACCCGTGGGGAAGATGTTAACTAAATCACAACTTATTGTTCCATTGTAGTGGTTTCGTGGGAATAAAAGTGAACGATGGCCAAATATTGCACGAGAAAGTCAAAATGTCGCCGAGTAAACAATTCATTTGTTGCCACCCGCTAAGAGAAAATTACCGGCTCAACAACTCCACAGTTTATTGTTCTATTCTCTTCGGAAATAATAGCAAAAAAATAGACCAATATTTCCTGCGGAGTCAAAATGCAGCCTACTGAATAATCCGTTTGTTGCCCACGCACTGAGATAAGAGTTGCTTTTCAGACGAAGTTGTTTTTCTTCGGCAAGGATTAGTTTTAGAGTATTTTCTTGGGATATAATAAAAGTTGGTCAGAAGTTCCTTTAAAAGTCTACTCCAAAAAAAAAAAAAATGCGTCTCAGGATTACATCTAAAACTGTTTACTCGAACCGGTTTTTCGGAGGGTTATACCGCGGGGGTTTTGCTTTGTTTTCTCTACTCGAATAAATTCATTTGTAGGCTATCTATCAAGGCACAACTGAAAACGAAGATACTATTTTAAAATGTGGGAAAAAGCAAACACATCCGAAGAATAAAAAAAAACAGTAATGTAAAGTTTCTACCGGTGGCATATCTTTCGTGGGAAACGTTGACGTAAATTTACATTCCACAGTTTTCGAAAGCGTTTGAAAGTGACATTAAGTTTTATTTCTACATAAAATGACAACAATTGCTAGAACACAATTCTATCTTAAATCATAAGCCCAAGATAAATCGAGAGCTGTTTGCTCGTTCAAAATCTCTCTACAGAAAAGATTTGATTTATTGTTTTCAATTTGTCAAAAAGACGTGGTATCTCAGGCGCCGAGCCTTTGTTTCGGATGTCTGTAGTTACTGGTAACAGCACGTAGTAACTGAAGTAATGAGTTCTCTTTCCCTCTTGTTGTTTTTTAGGTGATATTATGAATAAAACTTGCTCGTGAGCACACACGTTTGGTTTACTGACCATTAGGTAGGTGCCATTTTCGCGTTTGCCGAGCTTTCTAATGGATCTAAATTAAAAAAGTGTGCGACATACCCTTGCTCATCAACGAAAACTTCATCATGTTCTTTCAACCAACCAGAAGCAAAACAAACATCAATTATTACTTGGCTTCACAGTTTACGCGTCTTTCCCCGAACTTAACATTTCTACCCGTCTGATTGGCTTATTGTATTGACCAGTCACAAAAAACGTATTAATTTCGCGCCTGCTCTGATTGGCCAGATGTGATTTCTAAGTTGGTTTGGAAAAAATAGCAAGAAAATCTGTCCGAGAAAATCCCCCACAATTATTTATCCTCCTCGAACCTTGCCGGTTTACCTTTTGGAGAGCCAAACTGGCAGGGAGCGATATTCAGAGGTTGACAACCACTAACAAATGTGGCGAAAGCATGGCACTTTAAGTGAAATTGAACCTGATTTGCCAAAAACCCATCTTCAATGTGATTGGTTAGAAAACGCTACACGAGTAGGTTTCGTTTTCTTTTCGACCGTATGAAGGATGGGGATGGCCCTGTAGTGTAACCAAGCAAAATAACATACCGGCAGAGATTGGAGGTTTAGTCAGATGAAGAGTAGACAATCCACTACAGTTTATACCATTTATTACTCTCATGCGGAGCTCCGGACTGGGAGCCTTCCCTGAGAGTCGGAGAGGTGTCCACGAATGCCCCGGCGAATACACTCGCTTTATAGTAAGATCATTTGGGATACAAAACAGTTTTTGCGTCTAACACAAGAGCTAGCCAGGCCACTTTGCTGGAAGTGTAAACTTTTAATAGAGAGAGTGACTATAAATAATCATTCAAAAATAAATAGCTTAGGTCTCGCAACGAAACATTTACATAGACACACCTACAACTATAGAGCGTTCTCATAGCGGCCATTTGGTGCTCCCAAACACTAGGAAATGTTTGTCAAAGGAGAGAAATAACGTTTAGAAATACCAACATGACAGCAATGATGAACTATAGGTATCATGTTAAATTTTTTAGAGACCTCAGATGCTTCTTAATTGAATAAAAAAATATGACCAAGTTTGACTGGTCTCTATCTGCACCTACGCGTGTAAATACGAGTTACGGTGTGTAAGAAAAGAACGGAAAATATACAGTATATATGACTGGATTTATGAAAACCGTGTCAGTAGTTTGCACCAAATCACCCATATGCACTTTGATATCACGACTCCTAAAGGCCTTAAAATAACTCCAAAAAAAAAAAATTGGAACAATAACAAATACAGAGAAGAGCAAGAAAAGGAAGATAACAGAGTGGAGGGAAAAAAGACTGACAATCTCTTTTAATTTTTATGTCGTCTACATTGGAGAAAAAAAACGCTTGAGCAGGACGCGATTTCTTTAGTTTAACACTGTTTTCATAAATCCACTGTTTGAGCTGCGTGGTAAGAGTCACCAAAACATTCCTTTCGACAAGGACAAACCGCTGCTTACGCTTCAAACAATAATAAAAATAACAACGAATATTTAAGCAGGATGACCCATCAGTGTATTCAACGCTGCTTAACGTAACTGTAATCGTTACGTACTTATTAGTTTTTTTGTTAGTAAAACGTTCAAAAAATAACTTAATACAGAAACGCTGAATTACCTTGACCTACAAGTGACAAGATTTCAGTTGACTTTTTTTTTTTTTTTTTTTTTCTGAAAACTGAATTATCCGGGTGCGGTTCGCCAAATTGAAAACGATTTTCTTCTTCGTCAGTTGTTCTATTTTGATTCGCTCTTGTTAAACTGCATCTCTCTTGTTCTTAGGGCTAGGGGCATTGTTTGTGTTCTTTATCTATCGTTTCATTTGGCCAATTATAAAGAACCTTGGAAAACGGTGCAGGTCGTCCCCTTCTTCTCAATTTCTGGCTGACCGTTTTAGTGGTGACTGATTTATATTTTACTTATCAACGCAACTATAATTATTTATTCCTTTATGATAATAGATAACTAACTTATGTACAGCGTGGGGAGGATAAGTTACGTCGGCATCTAAGTTTACTATTATACAAGTGGCACGTACGTGATACATGCATGATCCTAAAATATGAAAAATATACATGACTGAATGCTTGAGATCTTTCTCAAAAGTAGTCTGCAAAAGTAATCAATGCTTTTATCTGAATAAAAAAGGAAAAAACACCGGCCTTGGGTACCTTCAAGTGACTTGCTTCTAAAATTGGATGGTTACCCCCAACAAACGTTGTTTTCGAAGTATGTGCTGGCAAATACTGCTATTTGCGAGCCCAAAATCCAACATTTCTTTATCAATAGTTACCCCGGGAGGCAAATGTTAGAATATTTAATGTTCTTCGCGCACATTATTTTACTCAAACTTTGCTGAGCCTCGGAGAAAACGTACCCACCATAGAATGGATAAAAAAGGTTAATTTTACATGGGTTGGGCTTGATTTGTTGGTGGGTTGAGCTTAATTTGTTGTTGGTTCTCGCCTGGCTCCGAGGATTTTTCTCCGGGTTCTCCAGTTTTCCTCCCTCCACAAAAACCAACATCTCCCAAATTCCAATTCGACCAAGATTTAGGACCTGCATGGAAACCAGCTAGGGCTAATATGGCTTCCCCTCATAACATTCTAATTTAATTTAAGTTAGAGCGACTTATCTTATAAATACAAGCAAACCAGGAATGAGGAATGAGTGTCTAAAGCAACTGTTGCATCGCGTAGGCGGAGAGTGAAAGTGACGCTTTGTTCATTATCAACTTGAAAACTGGTAGAAGTGAAATTAACCGGATCTCCAAGCTGTGTTACGGTTAGTTCAACCGGGTATCCCATTAACCAAGAACACTTTGGCAGAGGAACCAGCGCTCCGACTGCTTAGTGAGTACATCTGCGAGAAACGGAAAGAAGCAAGGATATTAAGAGAGGTCAAAAGCAGCCCACAAAGACTGTCCAACAAGGACAAATGAACAGAGAATTAGTTTCTAAAGAAACTGGTCTGGTGCGTGAGCGACAGAGTGGGGTTTGGAGTGGTTGTTAGTACAAATTAGCCAATGCAGGGCGTCTTCCGTCTCCTCGCAAAGTTAAATGGAGGTTTAAATGTTGGTTCTGAGACCAAAAGTTGGTGGTGTGTCAAGACAATATCTTCTAGGTGATGAATTTTTTAATTCTCATCACCTGTCTGGTTGACAAAAAAGTAATATTGTAAGGAGATAATAGTTATTACTCATGCACTCTTGGGAAGACGCTATGAACAGAACGATTAATAAATAAACTGTTGTACTAGCTATGTAACACAGTCCCCAACAAAAGCTGAGTCAGCACATCTGTGGGATTGAACTGAGATCCCTGGGGAACATCAGCATTTCCGATCAAGGGTAGCAGGAGTGCAAGGGTGTGAAGCATTCAACAATCGCCAAGATATTATATCTACAAAGAAGTAATCTTCATTAAGTCCTACCTTTCTTCCTTTGGTTTCAATGCCACGTAAGAACAGTGGATGTCTGTACAACGCATGTGCGTACATGGCCTCTCTGAATTCTTGCGCCACTGCATTCTGAGCCCACTCCGCTCTCTTGTAAGATTCATTTTTCTACCACAAAGAAAGGAAACGTCATCAGATACAAGTTAACTTAATACCAAGAAGAGAAATTTTCAAGAGCACAGTCCTAAAGCCAAGCTGAAATTTCTTTAAAATAAGGAACTTACCAGATCAGCCAAAGGATAGCGCTTTCTGATTGGCTCATCCAAGTCCAGGTATTTCAGCTCTAGATTGACTTGGCCCAGTGAGTTATTGCTGCCGATGGTTTCTTTGTCAAACATGTGAAACAGTAAAGTCCTGTCAAAAAAAAAAAATGATTTGTAAAGAGAGACACTTTAAACTTTTTGTTACACTGTATACAGACATCTTTTTCTCTTAGAAGCAAACACCTCACAAATGGCAAATGCAACAAGGGTGGTAAGAGCCAGTTTGAGAAAAGGTTATCTCACACTTATCCCTACTGGTATTGCTTTCCTGATTTTAACTAAAGAAAAAAGAACATGTAGTCTTACCTTGAGGAAAACTCTTCCTGTGGAACTGTGAATTCAAACGTTTCTTCAAATTCTGGAAACAGAGTTCCACTCACAACCTGAAGTTGAGTAGAATTATTGTTGTTAGCAATGTGGGACTTGTTACACAGGACTAATGTATCTCACTGTTTATTACTACAGTACACTGGCCAATTGGAGGCCTCATGGTTAGTCCGGATCATCACATGGTCTGGGTTGGAATCCTAGCCGTGGACATTGTGTTGTGTTCTTGAACAAGACACTTTACTCTCACAATGCCTTTCTCCACCCAGGTGTATAAATGAGTACTGACGAATTTAATACTAGGGTAAACCCTGTGATGGACTGGCATCCCATCCAGGGGATAGTAGAAATACTCCTAGTCACTTCATGCTACAGAAACTGAAATAAGCTCCGGCCTGATGGGCCACTTGGCTTGTATGCAGACTATACCTACACTGGCCAATTATTTACTCTGCAAACTACTAGGTACAAAAGAGAAACTGCTCAATCAATTGCCACTTTGTCTGAGTCTCTAAAGTTAAAAATAACTAATAAAAATTATATGCAAAAATGTATGCTTACAACTTGTATTATTATTTACAGCCAAAAATAGCTTGCAACTGCTTGTAATCATTTACATGTAGATCTTTTATCTCCCTCCCCTCTTTTTACTTTCAATGTCTTGGAGTGATGGGCATCTCCCTTTGCAGGACCCACTAAGGACCATCATTACGCTTTGAGTCACCTGTAGCCTTGTTCTCCACACCCGTAGCAAACTAGTACATGTACATTCTATCAACAACAGGCAGTTTCACCAGTAGCACCAAAGGCAAATCAAGCATACTCAGACGTAACATATGTTACAGGTTACTGCCCTTGATGACAGACCTGCCACTATGTAGATCCAAGTGTCCCACATATCTTGCCCACTACATTATTGCATTTTGAACAAAAACAAATAATACTAGAACCTTACCAGCTAAGTTGATAAAAAACCAAAACTAAACTGTTGAGATATTTTTATTATTATTCAAGGCAAGTAATCTGTGCACATCACTGGTAACAATGCCCACCTTGGTTTCATGATGCATATCAGTTCCTGAAATTGCACACTTGACAAAGGCATCAGATGTGTTGGTAAAGGAGTTCCCAGCCTTGATGTTGTAAGCTTTATGAATAGTTACAATCAGAGTTTCAGGTTCTTCATACTCCAGACTGATCTCTAATTCCCCTTTGATGCTGAAATCAGTCTAAAAATGGAACAAAATTAAAAAGGTGAATAACATATGTTCAGCTACCAAATAGTGGTACACAAAGCTGCCGTTTTATTTTTAAAAATTTAGTTCTATTTTTTTAAGAATTAAAACACCGCTTCTTATGACTGTATATGCATCAAAATATCAATAGCTCATGGTGTATTTGTAGTCCTGAGATGGCAGAGAGAACCCAAAGTGCAACCAAGGATTCACTTGACCAGGTGAAATACTAGAAAAACAATATTAGTGAAAGATCTCCACCTACTTACAAATTTGTCCTGAACTTCACTGTTCAAGCAAAAGAAGTATGAAAGATAAACTGCCGTCATAAGTAACTGTCAGTCAGAGAGCTTTAGCAGCAAATCAAAGTGGATGGAAAATGAGTGTCAAAGCCTTATGGTTCTTGTAGCATGGAGAGATATACAGCTGTAGGAATTGCTAGGAGAAATTAATCGGCTGGAACACTGAGTGTAATTGAAAACTGCATTTCCCAGCCAAAGAGAGCAAGCATGTTCCAGGTACATATAAGAAAACGCCCATGTCATTCATAATATTACAATGGACCTTCAAATGTTAATTTTCATTTTTGTTGACCTCTGATGCCTTGGGTTGAACTTGATTGAACTCAGATTTCTAGATCAGTCAACCAACAGTCATCTGAAGTTACAACCAATATTCCTTAAATTTACAACATGCATGTACTGAACCTCAAGCTGAAGTATAAACCAATCTGTATGTGTCCCTGAACTGAGATGAATCCTGGACAAATCCACTACACCTTCGCCATTAAAATCATCTTCACCAAAGAAGTCATGATCCCAGATGGCCACTCGTAGCTTAGTGTCCGCTATGCGCGACTGGTCCAGTTGGAAGGAAAATATCTCATTAAATACAGGATTGAGTGTCTTAGACTTGTATGCTGTCTTTTTTTGCCCTTCTCCATTCCTACAAGAAAAGGAGATATACAATAACTACTTGCATGTACTTGTATGGGTATGCTGAGACGTAACCCCACAATGGACTAGTGTACTGTGTTGCCATCCAGTGGGAACATATTTAGAAATGCTCCTAGTCACCTTATGCTACAGAAACTGGGATAAGCTCCAATGGTACACAAACATGGCTAAATGCAGACATTTTGTAATAAAGCACTCTGATTGGCTGATTTTAGATACTAGACCAAGCTTTGTAATAAAGAGATATTCATTGTTTTTAGTACTGTCATTGGATAATCAGCAGGGCAGGAAATGGAAACTTTCACCAGGTCCAATTGCCCGGAGCAAGTAAATCTTGCTCTTGGGCAAGTAAAAATGGATGTTTGGTGGTCTGGTGGGCAGGTGAAATTAGCCTCAGAAGTCTTGTTATAGTCTATCACTGATTGTCTAGACAGTACCCAGTAAATGATGTAGTTGATACGAGGCATGAACATTGTGCGCCGATTAGGCAAGTGATATTTTAGTGGGGCAACTGAAAACTGAAATGTAGAGGCCCACTGGGCAACTGGATTTCTAATTTTTTTTTTCCTGCCCTGAATCAGGAGAGTCAAATGCACACTTACAGATCTGGAACCAGATCTAAGACAGCATATGGATCTGACTTGCCATTCAGGTCTCTTGGTACCAGATCTCTGGCTCGAATGACTTTCACTAGTAAGAGCTCTTGTCTGTGGTTGTACTTGAGAGAGAGTTGCACATCTCCCTTGATGTCACCAGAGTCTGGTTGTGTCACAGTGGGGTCCATGCGCTTGTATAGTTCTTTAATAATGTCAGTTCCATCAAGCTTGAAAAAGAGTAAAATGACAGCCACATCATGTAAAAGCATTAACAAGAGATTGGTATTCCTCAAGGGAATTTTAGAGACAGAATTATCTGTATAGTTCTGTTATTGTTTACAGGTACATAAAACTGCTTATCACATGATGTATAAGACCCTGTGTGCTATTTCCTTGGAAAACCATCAGGAATAACGTCCCGTTTTTGGACCTTAAGAGATGAAGTGATAGGGCCAGAAAGTGCATGAAGCAAAGACCACAACTGGTCATACGATAAAATGCTTATTGACTGAGTGAGGCCAGGTAAGATGGAAAAATATTTGGCTCTCAGTCAGGATGCAAAGATCTCACAACATCTGGTCTGTACATCCTGACCTCAATCCAAATATTTTTCTGTCCAACCCTCTCACTCAGTCAGTAAGTACATAATCCTGAATAGCAAGCAGTTCTGTGTTCTGTATTGACAAAATAGCAGTAGAGTAAAATAATGCTCAGTTATCCCTCTTTCTTTGAGTTCCTCTCAATCATTTGATCACTCTAGGCTTTCCCAAGCTAATTTTTACGTCTTTAAAATAAATGCCTGCTTTTAAAGTTCCCAAAATATGGGCATTACGTGACACTCAGCAAGCTGTTAATTACCTAAGGTTGGTGAGCCAAAGGTGTTATATATGGATGAGAAAAGCTGTCCTTTCTGCCAGAACTCCCCAGACAACTTAGCTCCTTGAGTTGCCTTGTCATCTGAGACAACTTGGGGAAAATTATATTAATGCTTGTTCGACTTGCTCATCAAAACAGTGAGAACTTAATTTGCCTGGGGTAACTCAGGAAAGGGAGGGAAGGGGAGGGTCAGGAGAGTTGTCTCAGAGCCAGTCTGGCTTCTGTAAGTTCAATCAGCCCTTATAATGAGTAAGCCTGTTTATTGATTTAATATTAATGATTTTATAATTCCATACGATTATGCATGAAGAATTCAAATCAAAGCACATTACAGCAAGTCTACAGAATCCACAGTGCCTTTCTCAATCGCTCCATAAAAACTGTGGAATGTCTGGAGAAGACCAATTCTCCGGCTAAGCAAAATCACTCAAAACTCTAGCTTACTTTCACAAACCATAATTTATTTCAAAGACAGACATAACTAAACCCAAGTAACTACCTGTTTCTGAAAACATGCCGTGTTTTTCTCTTTATTCTTGATCTTCAAAAACCTGTTTTTAGCTTCCACTACTTTCGTCATCCCAGTCATACCGTCGTTGGCGGGAAGGTTGGCATTTGCAGCTGTTCGAGGTCTCACATCTTCCACAGTAGCATTATCTTCATCTGCTACAGTCCATTCCCGGCTTGATGTGCTTGCTCCCGTCCCCATAATGTTAACCTTTGCAAATGTTCGCTTATTCACGGTTTTGAGATCATTTTTCTTGAGACAAACGTTGTTTACTTCACCACCATGGAAGCCATCTTTGTGGAATTTTGATTGCTTTGACGTATGTTCTGACGTCATGAAGATTCCAAACTCGTTCCCAGGCACCTTTGTGCCATCGGTCGCATGGCGCGTGGTT